TTACCTGGTGAAGACGCCTAACTCAACGGATGCCGCGTTTTGGCTATCAAATTAAAAACTTCTGCCATTGCTGGGCCTTAGGAGGAGACGAGAAGGGTAACATAGGTTAAATGAAAAGCCCCTCCACACCAATATCTTACAAATACGAGCCGTTTGCTTGTTGCAAAAAGCACAAATAAGCAATCATGCTTGTTTGTCGGGAGAAGACCGACTTTTTCCATATTAATACTTTCTTATATGTGGTTATTAACGCAGCTTGTTATTAACAAAGAACTACCCAGACGTTGGAAAAACTAAGTATTAAGGAAATCCTGGAAAAAAGTACACAGGTGCCTACACTCCGCACAGACTAACAATTCCAGGATCATGAAATCGTCCGGCATAAATCAGCTGATCGTCTCTCTTGTAATTATGAGACAGTTCTAATGGAACAGCAGGAGCAAAATGTAGTTTCCAAGGTTTCAAAGTCAAAACAAACTTCAGAATTTGGTCTAGCTGAGGTAAAGGTCGCGAAAACTACTACAATGGATCGAGGAGCTCTTGCGTATGAATGTGCATCTCGAAAAGCTGAGCGAATGTAGTTCGTGAAGAATCAATGATGATGCAGTATCGAATATTTTTTTCATTTTGCGCTCGTCCAGCGCCGGCATGGGGTCTAAAATGTATAAAGTACAATGTACAAAGTACAAGTGCAGGTTGTGCCCCCTTTATTCTAACAAAATTTAGGGCGCTAATAGGAACGGTAAGGTATGACATTGACTGTTTTGTAATAGAGTCTCCCGGTTTTGTGCTAACCACAGTTTCATGGCTTATGCCGCCACGATCGTTATAGGATCCCATTGCGAAGGGTGAGGGGGTCGTATTTGGCCTAGCGGGCTGTTTTCGATTCGTTTTAGAGAGTAACCGCCCACATTCAATGATCCTGCTCGCAATGCTCACTATGTTCTTTTGTCAGTGATTCTCAACAATAAGTAGCCGTGTACGATCATCAGTGCAACTCGGTGCACTGTGTAGAAGGGATCGAACTAAAATCCACAGACAGGTGACAGGAAGGCACACCACCGCTCATGCTAGTCGATAGTTTACGAAGACAGAGCCGCTCAAGGCGCATGAAAGTAATGGAGAATCATGCTGAAAATGATATTACAGAACGACAATACACTGACTAGACGTAATAGTACGTAATAATACGTAAAGTAAGAAAAACACAATCCAACGGTTATCACAAGAACGCTGAATCGTAGGCTAGAACCTTGATCCCAGAAGCGCATTTCACGCTTTCCGTCGACTTCCCCCTTCACTCAGGATGTTCTGAAGAACTGCCGAACTGCGGTAATAGACCGAGCCAATACTTTTCATTAATCCTTCAATTCTGCATCTCATCAATTCAACAATTCTTCACCGCTGCAAGTATATGTACAAATATACATCAACGCGGTCTCATACTGAAGGAACACTGGGTGAAACGTAACCGAGATAAGCAAAAGCATAAATAGTACAGGTGATAAGCTCAATAATGGAGACTCGGGTGGGGAACTTGGAAGGAAATACGAACAGGAGCAGAGGCACATACATGGACAGATCGTAAAGACTGAGTAACCCTACAGATTGAGTAGAAAAAAAAAAAAAAACGAAAATAGTAAGTGTTCACGATACACGCGGTACGGTTAATTTTGACGTCGAATTTGCGCTGCTGTGTGTGATTGCGGGGAGAACGCACAAGTTGGAATTCCTACGCGCACGTGCTCGCATTGTTGATCGTGAGCGATTTGTTTATTCGATATGACTTGTACTAGTAGATTCGCTATCTTCAGTCTGTCTCTTGTGCAGCATCACCACACTAATTCCGTAAAAGTTGAACTTTTGTCGTCATTCAGCTGTAAACGCCTTGAGTTAAGTCGTTTAACGACGTTTTCCAAACAAAATAAACACAAGTTTCACGCATTCAGACAAGGAACTCATCCAGTAGGTTTAGGTTAACTTGGTAGAAATTACTCTCTTTCCAATTTCCGTTTTCTTTCGCTCACGTTCCACTTTCGCTCGCATTATTTACCTTCCGTGCGTGGTACTGACCACCTGCCCAGTGGGTTCTCTCTGCTCGAGGAACACCCAAGGACACGATAAACTTCTTACTGCGGTCGTTCAAGTGTTTGTTCAACATCTCATGTCATCCAGTCGCTGGTCGCTTCGGCTCGGTGGTCATCATCGAACCCATCACGTATTCGACTCACCTGATACTCGAAATTTCTCTGCCGACTTGCAAATGATATGGGTTTTTGACAACCCCAGAAGTTTGACCTCATGAGAAACAAACCCTCCGTCTCAGGATATCTGTCAACTGTTGAGCCCCCCTCCTTCCTTTTTTCGTCCTCCTTTCCTTCGTTTCTTCTCTCGTTCCTCAACCTTGCTTTCCTTTCAAATGCTCGATCAGGCAATATCTGAATGGCCTACCAGACGACGAGTTTATCCCTTGCACTATCATTCTGGAGCGGTAAACCGCTTTGAAATCCTGACGCGAGCCCATCAATCGACAGAGATGCATTGAGATGTGCGCTCCGTTTTGGAATTGAATGAAGGTCATGCGAGAAAAAAAGGAAGTGTGAAAGATGGGCAAACACCTTTTTTGAGAGTGCTGTCACTGCGTGTCCAATCGTAAGGGCGCGCTCATTTTCCATTTTGGGTGAGTCAACGAATATGTGAAAAGGATTTGACACGAAGTATCGTCGATTCTTCGTGTCAGTCTCCTTCCGCAGATCCCTCTTTGATAGGTAGGTGATAGGTTTGCCACAGACTGTACGGTTTTGCTGTCGGCTGAGCCATTTCGATCAATTTGTACCTGTTCCTTGTAA